GGGAGGTGGGTACTACATCGATGGGACACGGTAGGTGTGTTAAAGAAAATTAGAGGCCAAAATTGACATATTTTTTTTTACACATCAATTTTACAGACCAAGAGTCGTTATCCTACCTTAGCTCATTTCAAAGCCCAGCCCTATCTATAGTATATTACCACCACCCAGGATGCCACCCTCACCTACTTATTGCTAGGTGAACAGAGGCAAGGAAACATGCCCAACGTTTTCATCTGTACCGGGGCACGAACCACGGGCACTCAGTGTGAGAGCTGAGTGCACACTGGCAAATTTAAATAAAACCCACTTTCGAAAATAAAATAAAGATATCTCTATATTACTGCTTCCAACTGAGCCTTATGAAGGTCTCACTGTGAGGCCAAACTATTCCAACTGAGCCTTATGAAGGTCTCACTGTGAGGCCAAACTATACAAATATCTTGACATTTTAGTTTCCTTTTTATAGTGGATTTCATTAAGGTATAAATCCAACTTTAAAAATACTTTAGGCGAATAATGGAGTGAGAATGGTTGTGTGTAAGACTTAGCACGAGCCACTCGACCTGTAGAAATAAACACAAATACAGTATAATGCGATCCTATATTAACTACGTTTTGCCCACGCAGTAGGTGGGTAAAGAGTACATGAGTATGTATAGGGTATTTTATGGCATTTTGTACCATTTATCTCCAGCCAGTAGGCCTACTGCAGCGATCCTCTAGTTTTGTAACCTTATATGTGTATTCATGTTAGGCCTACGAGGAGAGTGGACTTGAATCAGCAGTAATTACAAAAAACACAGATTAGATTTTACCACCCCGTATCCATACTGTAGACGGTAGTGCAAGACCATATGGATACACAAAAGGCCTAAGAACTAGCCCCCAAAAGGGTTAACAGGAGTATACCAATAAAGACAGACATGTTGGAAATGGTATAAAATACCGACGAGTTGAGGATTAAGACACATATGCAACAGTTTCTCCTACACTGTAGGCTGCTTCACTACTGCTTCTCCCTATGTATTTGACTGAAGAAGCCTACTGTGTAGGCGAAACGTTTCATCATTAAAGATACCTAACTGTTGCACATGTCTTAATCCTCAATAAACGCAGACGTGTGTTAGAAACTTTTCTGAAGTGAGAGTGTGAGGTGGGTTTCCCCATCATGAGAGTTGTGTGCCATCACCACCTCGACCTCATCAAACTGCCACGGGATTTCCAAAACTTCAACGGGATGCCGGCAGATTACACAAAACTCGACGTCATATCGAAAACTATTAATTACCTCCCCTCATCTTGCTTTCTTGTTAATCATAACCAAGAACATTTCCATCTCCGGGAAATGTTCGTGGCCAAGATTCACACAAGAGTTCTGTCACATTTGGGAAATATAATTAGGACATTTAGCAGTGCTCTCCATCACACTTCTATGCTTGGTGTTATCTAGATGTTCATCTATAACATCCTTTGTGCTCCCAAACAATTCGACAGATGCCTGCTCCTAACTAATGTTGTACCCCTGTTCTTATTACCAGTACTACTGCTATTAATCCTACTGCTATTGCTTTAAATGTTATACCAACTATTACTACACCCTTTAATGCAACAACTACTACTACTATTTAGCCCATAATTTTAGCGAAAGAATGACTAAGTTTGCTTGTGTGTCATTGCAATATACCGAGTCTCATTACGCGGGTGTATCATAGATAGGATCAGATGAGTCAAGCATATGCATGTTTGTTGATTCAGTCTTTTAAGCTCTTCTGTACTATCAGCGTGGGAGCAGCTATGTGAACACTTCAGCCAGGTTCACTATTCAATCTCTTCTCTTACCTCTCTTCAGTAAGTAGCATTCAACTCCCATTAAGTAAATAAACAAGTTTCACTCAATAAGAGCTTAGCAGGTTGATAAAACTCTCATTGAGCGAAACGTTATTTAAATAAAGGTTTGATGTGTTTACGTGTGTGATCCACAATGTTTGAGCTTACTGTCAGTCGTTCAAACTCGCGGAAACACCAAAACTAGCGACTTTTAACACATGTTTCACCTGGAATTGAGAAGGTCTGCCATTTGTATGTGTTGGTGGGTTTCTCACTCATCTGCACTTGTTCTCTTCACTTGCTATTATCCAGTGTAGTAAGCTCTTATAAAACTCTTCTATACATCACGATTTTTTTTTTGTAAATGCGATTGAAAAAAAATACATCCAGAATTGAACAGCAGGTGGTGACGGATGTCACATTGAGTGCTATTAAATTTTGGACGCAGTCCTTCAACAGCATTTTCAAAACGAAATCACAGCATGTAGAAAACCTTTATAAGAGAGGTGAGGTTCCGTGTGCTCCTCGAGGGAGACGCGAGACGGTGCTTAATTAACATCAGGCTGGGCAGCGGCTACAGCTACACCTGTACGAGGCTTGGTAACGACTGTCCCCAGTACCTGCTGAAAGAGCTCACCTGTACACCGTCATTTTTTCCCACTTTACCTGACTATCTCTCATATCTCAGCTCATTGTAGCGTCACGAGTGATAATCGTTCAGATCTGAACGTTTCCTGTCGTTCGTTCGCCGGCCTCGTTGCCAGATTATCGCGGCCGGTTTCTAATTTACATACTTAATGTATGTTTCACTGTTTTTTTTTTTTTTGTAACTCATGCTGTGTTGTACCAGAGTAATGATAAAGGAGATGTAATTTGTAATGTGACAGGAAGCGTTTGGAACCTGACGTTGGGGACCAGGTGAAGAAACTAATGGTATTACACTGACATAATGACACGACAATGACGTGACACTGACATATCAGTGACATGACACTGCCATGACACTTGACATGACATTAACATGACATTGACAGCCCTGAGCAGCCAGGGTAGAAAATCCCTCGAAATCGGCGGCATGTATTACTGTGGCATCACGGCGCCCCCCCGACCGTCTTCAACTACCATACAGCAGTGTAGGAGCACATTGCGGATGTATTCATTTCTTGCTTTAAAAAAAAAATAATTCAAACCTTGCCAACATACTTCAAGTCGACACTATTACCAGGGGGAAACGTGAAGGACTCTCCATCCAAGGCATTGGAACATACTGTACATTACCTTTCCCAGGATCGAACCTAAATAAACCTTCCCCTCCAATCTTCAGGTATTATATGACGGATTTAGCGCTTCCCTTGAATGTAAGAATACGTGCCAAGACGAATTGCGTTTTACATGTATTATATATGTCGTGCCGAATAGGTAAAACTTGCGATTTTTGGCTTAAATAGCAACGCTCTTCTTGCCGAATAATGCAAGCGAAAATTTGTGTATGCAGTAGGTTCGCAAAAATCATTCTGAACCTAACGAAAAAATATATTTCATTGTGTTTGTTTATTATTAAATTATTGTAAACTTATCTAAAATATATTAGTTAGATTAGGCTAAATTATTAATTTTTACATTAACATAAATGAAAAGAATGTATCTTTAAACGTGTAAGAGAGAATTTTAGAAAGGACTTAATTTTAAACGAGTTCTTGCTAAATGACCAATTTTACCTATTTGGCGCGACATTTTATATATATATATATATATATATATATATATATATATATATATATATATATATATATATATATATATATATATGTAAAATCCATCTCTCTCTCTCTCTCTCTCTCTCTCTCTCTCTCTCTCTCTCTCTCTCTCTCTCTCTCTCTCTCTCTCTCTCTCTCTCTCTCTTTCTCTCTCTCTCTCTCTCTCCTGAGCTCTTCATCACAGCTGTGACGTGACAGGATTCAGGCCAGAGTTCTGATTCTTACTCACAACCTGACTGACAGCAACAGCCGCCGCCAGCCAACAGGTTGTTGAGGGCCACGGGGATGGAAGGGGAAGGAGGGTAGTAAGATGGAAGGGGAAAAGAAGAGAGGATGGGGAGGAAAGATATCAAGAAAGACATAAAAAAAGCTATAAAAACAGTGAATAGAGAGCAGACTGAGAGTTAAGGGAAGAAGACCGTAAGTTGAATGAGGATAGGTGGAAGAAGATAGGAATGTTAGGGATAGAGAAAGGTAGTACAAATGCAGAAGGTAAAAAGGATAGATTTAGCCACCAGAATATAAATATATCTTGTGGACGGTAGTGGCTAGTTTATTGTGCACATCATAATCACACTGTGGATAGTAGTGGCTAGGTGGCTAGATCATTATGTATCCCATATTCATCCTGTGAACGGTAGTACGAAAATATGTATAGAATACCTGGAGTATACCTAGAGACGGTTTCAGGGATCAACGACCCCCCCCCCTCCCGCTCGGTCCGTTACCAGGCCTCGTGGTGGATCAGGACCTGATCAACCAGAGGCTGTTACTGCTGGCCGCACGTAAACTGACGTACGAGCCACAGCCCGGCTGATCAGGTACTGACTTTAGGTGCCTGTCCAGCGCCTTCTTGAAGACAGGGGTCTATTGGTAATCCCCCCTTATGTATGCTGGGAAGCAGTTGAACAGTCTTGGGCCCCTGACACTTATTGTGTTGTCTCTTAGCGTATTTGTAGCGTCCCTGCTTTTCATGAGGGGAATGTTGCATCTCTTGCCGAGTCTTTTGCTTTCGTAGGTAATGATTTTCGTGTGCATATTTGGCACTAATCCCTCTAGGATTTCCCAAGTGTATATTATCATGTATCTTTCTCGTCTTCATTCGACGAAATACAAATCAAGGGATTTCAACCGTTCCCAGTAATTTAGGTGCTTTATCGTACTTGTGTGTGCCGCGAATGTTCTCTGTACATTCTTCAGGTAAGAAGATAAAAAGAATAAAAGCTGGGGAGTATACATGGAAGGTCTTCAAAGACTTTTTGGTCTATATCGAAACTATCTCTTGAGAAGGGCTATATTTTGGCTAGCCTCCACTTGTGTCATGACAGACGATGTGAGGATAATTTAGCGGGAGACGCTCTCCCCATCCTGCTTGCCTTCTTGAAAGACTGGGCAGAGCGCATTTCTGTAGTATGGGTTTGTAGTTTTCATGTGCAGCCCGGCCCTGGGCCATGCTCGTCTGGTGCTTGAGTAGTTGTTTAATACAGGAGGAAATAGTTGGTACTACTACTACCACCATTACTACTGACATATCATTGTTACTACTTCCACGACGACGACGACCACAACCACCACTACCACTACTACTACCATCACCACCACCGCCTGTGAATAAGACTTTGCAGAAATCTAGATAACTTCATATGAGAAACGTTTCGCCTATTATGCGGACGAAACATGTCTCGAGGATAATCATATTTGCACAGTTAGTTTATCAGCTTCTAGGTATTATATACCTTTGATCTCTTGGTAGTACTACTATTACTAACATCTCCACAGTTACCACCTTCACTACCACTACAACTATTAGACTACCACTGCTGCTATGTCCAGTGTATACCAGTATAGTTACACTGACCACAGAGGTATGGTCTGAGACCGGGCCTCCGCGTCCGGCAGCAAACAAGACCTAGGTCTTGTTTGTACGACTGCTTTTTTTTTTTTTTACACTTTCAACCTCAGAGGGTTACGTGTTCCAGTATTCTGTGGATCTTCACACACAAAAAGTAATTCCTTACCCCCTCCCCCACCTGTTGCTTCGCTCACCCACCCTCCTCTAGCTGACCCACCTGCCTGAGGCGACCCACCTGTGCCCACTTCCTCCACCTCCTCCTCGACGTTATTTACATTCCGGTTTCAGTAGATCAATCAGATTCGTCTGAGGACAGCGTTTATGGTAATGCTGGTTAATGGAATTGTCAGATGTTGTAACCATCAAAACTGTTTTTTTTAAGGGAAGATATAATGGAAAATTACTAAACATGTGTTTATGGATGAAGCGTAAAGATGTTTGGCTAGGTAGGAATGTTGAGGTGTTACTTACGTGATGTTGACAAACTCAGAGAGAGAGAGAGAGAGAGCTGAAGTAGGTAACAGGTCTTACCTTGTAAATAAAGTTAGGATGCCTTAACCTAACCTTGTAAAACTCTGCATAAGAGAGAATAAAGATGAGGATGGGTGTAAAAAGATTAATTAGTCTGGAATTAATAAATAAATTCGGTAAATTAGTAAATAGTTTAGTGAAGATAGACGTGACATACCTGTGATTATTAAAGCCCGGCCTGAGGCCTGGTCAGCCAGACTGTTGGTGATAGCGGCCCGCAGGCCCACACAGCCATCACAACCCAGCTGATCCAGTACTTGCAGCAACAAGAAGGAATTACAACATGTTATTGTCTATCATATTACCATCACCGCTACCACCACCACTAGCACCCTTCTCCCTCACCCCCGCTCATAACATTTAAAGAGTAAAAGTAGGTGCCCGGGGGGTCAAAACCAGTGACAGTGAACTTATGTATACCTCAGAGAGTAAAGGAACTTCCATTGTTTCTTTCCCTACCAACTACTCCTTCAGTGAATGTGATAATGGTAAACAATACCGATTAGAGTTTACTACAAACTCTAATCACACAGTAGAACGGAAAAGTAATATTCAAGACAAGAGATGCCAAGCCATTGATCCTTTTTAAATCACTTCTCCTCTCTAGGCTGGAATACTGCTGTACATTAACATCTCCATTCAGAGAAATTGCAAATCTAGAGAATGTACAGAGAACCTTTACTGCACATATAAGTTCCATCAAACACGTTAACTACTGGGAACGCTTGGAAGCACTTGACTTGTACCCACTGGAGCGCAGGCGAGAGATACATCATAATCTACACCTGTAAGATCCTGGAGGGACTGGTCCCTAATCTGCATACAGAAATCACTCCCTACTAAAGTAAATGTTGCAGGCGATGCAACATATCCCCAGTGAAAAGTAAGGGTGCCATTAGTACACTAAGAGAAAACTAAGTGTCCGGGGCCTAAAACTGTTCAACAGCCTCCCACCAGCCATGAGGAGAATTACCAATAGATCCCTGGTTGTCTTCAAGAGGGAGCTGGACAGATACCTAAAGTCAGTACCGGATCAGCTGGGCTGTGTTTCGTACGTTGGACTACGTACGGTCAGCAGTAACAGCCTCGTTGATCAGGCCCTGATCCACCAGGAAGCCTGGTCATGGACCGGGCCGCGGGGGCGTTGATCCCCGGAATACCCTGCAGGTAGACTCCAGGTAGGTAGACTATGGAGCAGAACTCTTCTTCAGGCTGAGGGACTGATCAACTCAAAATTACGTCTTCGATGGTACTGGACTGATTACATCGTCTTTACATTTTTACTGTTATGTTGTCTTCTCTGTATTCGACTGAAGAAGTCTGCTATGTAGGTATAACATTTCGGAATAAAGATACCTAACTGTTGCACGTGTGTCTTGCTTATCCGCTCCTTCACCTAGTTACTTGGGGAGTTACCTAGTTCATGGGGAGGACGTTACCCGTGAACGTAAGAGACTTGGCAGACGGTGTAAAATACCCTCAATAAAAAGCAGGGATGCAGCGAGTTCATACAAATGGAAAACTTAATAAGTG